GCTCTAAAAGCACATTATAGATGAATTGATCAATATTTATTACTTAATTATTTTTTTAAGGTTCTTGATAAATAAACTTATTAGTAAATGAAAGTTGTTTTGCTTAAAAAGTGGAGGAGGTTGGATTCAATTTTTCCAGGAAGGATTGGTTTTCGGTTTTTGTTCTTTTTGTTAACCAATTCCCGGCTTTCTTCAAACTTGGTTTGTTGTTTGGAATTTTATTTTTCTTTTTGATTTTCGGAACTTTTAAGGATTTTGGTTTTTTGTTTGAACCTTCTTTTTTTGTGGCGGGACTTATTTCTTCTTTTGTTTTTTTGGGTTTTATTACCATTGATTTTTGGCCCTTAAGGATGACATGTCTGATTCTATGGTGTTGTGCTTAAAAAATACAGGTTGAGAGGGCATTTGGAGATTGGTTGAATTGCTACTAAGCATAAGAACATTTGAAGCCATGTTTGGTATGTCAGTAATATTTTCTTGAGCACATGGCAAACCAATATGGATGCATCTCATCATTTCAGCAATTGAACTATTCCTCAAAATTGGATCTATGAGATTTAATCCTGTCTCTTCCCTCCAATTTTTCTAGGTCTACAAAAAGCTACAAATGCACATGCTCATAGAGCATCACAATGAGAACCAGCTAATATTTGAACTTTTATCTGTCACAAGACATGAAAGAAACATAAAATAAATAGAGAGTGTTGTGGCGCGCAGTCCACGCAAGATGGATTACATTTTAGTTTTCTAAAATAAGTATTGATTGTCATACTTACATAGACAACTTAGTAGGTCTTCTATGTTCTTCCCATTTTGAAAACAATTAATTTTTTGATTATTGACAATTACTAAAAATAACACACCAAAATTAAAGACATTTAAAATTACTGAGAATAATTGCCTATACATTGCAGAATATGGAGCCATGCATCCATTGCATGAATATCAACGACAACCAGGTCATTTTCAATATATTAAAAAAGTGATAAACTCAAGTTCTAAGATTTTCTTAATGCAATACATAAGAAAACCATTCTCGGTAATTTCATGCTTCTAATGTGGAAAAAGCTACTTGGATATTTATTTGCATAAGAAACAATTCAAAGTTTCATTATTTTTTATACTACTCATTAAGTTCCCACAATTCTACTGGTATTGTCTTGTGTTTCATCTCTTACTTACAACCTTGCCATGACAAAATTTACAATTTTAGAATTCATATTTTTATCTAATAAGATGTTACTTGCTTTGAGATCGAGATGGATTATTCAAAGATGTGAACTTTCATGCAGGTAAAGGAGACCACAAGCTATGCCTCTAATGATTTTGAAACGTCTTTTCCAATTGAGTTCTGCTCTGCACGTTGTCATAATTTAGTTTTTGCCCTACCTATTTTTAAAACACATGAAAAAGGGGAGAAGAAAAAAATCGTAATTTTTCTAGTAATTCATGTTTGTTAATTACAATTCACAGAATATTTGAGTTTTATTATGATTTTGAAATTAAAGCCGAAATTGGTCAAAGAAAAATCAAGATTAATTCAAGATTAATTCAAGTTTATTGACAAATTGTACTTAATTGAAAACATTTAAAATAAGGGTTTTGTTTTGCAGGGACCTCATTGTTACGTGGATTAAAGAAAGGGACCAAAGTGTCAGGCGGGTGAACCTTATGAACAGAAGCGCGAAGGCCCTTGAAACGACGCCGTTTTGATCGAAAAGAGATAAAAGGTCGGAAGGGACCCTAGTCCTCTTGTGCCGCCACTTGCAGGATGGGATTCCTCCCCCTTCCTCTCCAAATCGGTCCCTTCCTCTTTCATCCCATCTTAAGGGATCTCCGTGGAAGCCTTGTCACCAAGCCGTTCATCTTCTCAAGTCATGAATCTGAAGCGAGTTGAAGGAATCTAGGGCTTTAGGTGGGTTGCAACTCTAAGTCTAGGTGGGCGGCAATTCCAGGGGTAGGAACGGTCGGGATTGAAGGAAGGCAATCGGATGGCCGGGGTTTTGTTTCTCCCTCCTCTGATTTTGCCTATAAAAAAAGGGAGAGAGCTTTTCGGATGAAAGAGGGGGAGAAAAAAAAACAGAAAGGAAAAACCCGAGAGAAGGAAGAGAAGAAAGATAAAGAGAAGGAAAAAACTGAAGAAAGGCAGAAAGAGTGCGAGAAAAAATCAGATAGTACTGAGATTTTCGGGCTTGAGGAATCAAAGGCAAAATGGGCAGTTTGAGTTAGCTTCCAGAATCTAGAAGTGTCGCAAAACTTAGGTATTTTGTTCTTGATTCATTTCGTGTATATCATGCTTAAATATTGAATGAGAATCTGATTTTTGCTCCTAGATTTGTGTATATTTATTCTGAAAATTTTGTTTGATGATTGTTGTGGTTGAATTTTTGTGAAATTGAGGTTTGAAATGGTTGATATTATTGTATAAACAAACTCTGTTTAACTTGGTTTATGCCTAGGATCTGTTTTCCTATTTTTAGAAAATTTCTGGAATTTTTCTTGAATTTTTGTGAAATTGCCGGAAACTGCAGAGCTAGGCTGGAATTCGGCTGGAGTTCTGCGACTCCGCCGGATTCTGGGAATAACCAGGCGACCTTTTTTTTTTTTTTAGCTGGTTCTGTTTCTTTCGAAAGATGGGAAACGGACTAATGCTTTCATCAATCTTTGACCCAACAAAAAAAGAGTTCCTCTTGATTAATTAATTTGCAATGGTTAATTAAATTAATTAATATTAATTAATTAATTTAATTAATTCTTATTAATTCTAATTAAGGTTTTTATTAAGTTAATTAAGATTTAATTGAGATAGTGAATTATGTTTAATTAATTAAATTAATTATTCTAATGGATTAATCTCCTAATTAGTTTTCAATTAATATTCATTAATTAGTGGATCAAACTCTACAAAATTATATATATTAGTTGTTAGAGTCGAACATCGACTCTGTCTCTCATTTAAATATTTAATCAGGTAAAAAATTTCAATTTTCAAATTCCCTGTTTTTTTCTCAATAAAAGCCCTAAAATTTTTTCTACCTTTTTTTTTCAAATATCCCAAATCTTTTTCCCTCTAGATAATCAATCACTTTTTTAATTGAGTCAAAACACTCAACATAAAATAAGTTGAGTTAAAACCTCAAACTTAAAAGTATGCAATTATATTTTGGAAGGGAGTTGTGGGGTGTGCATATTTGCTTCTCCATGCTTAATTGTACTCTTAAAATTTAATCTTTGTGCAGATCATTTTAGATAACTTATCTCACTTTATATTATAATTTGTACAATTTGTGATTTCAAATTTTTTAAATTTCACACTTAATTTTCCATAAATTTAAAAATTTTAAGTGAATTTCTAACCCAGGCTTGATTGGATCTACATGATAAAGTCTTTAAAATTCTTGGCATGATTATTTAGCCCCCAAAAGACAACAAAACAAAGCTAAGGTTACATATGACTTGCATTAGCAAGAAGATTCTCCCATTCTTCTTCATTACTGCGACAGAATTTTAATCACTGATGATCTCAAGAGCTACCACACCAGAACTATAAATAGAAGACCTAACTAATTGAAAAATTCACATTTAGAAGATACTCTAGAGCGTAGAGCCATAATCTACCAAATATATCCACTAAATGCAGCAGCCGAAATAAGGATTTATGTATTTTGGACAACCTAGAAAATGTAACTACAAGCTAATGAATATAAAAGCTTTGAATTATTTGAAATAGAAAAAGTATCATTCATGTTAGATTTTTATTTTCCAAATACTTTTTTACCTGCATTCCCTAGGTCTTCGAGTCATCTTCTTCAAAGAAACTTCAATTTGGACTTGGTAACAGAAATGGAGAAACAGTAAGAGAGATTGGATTTATCTCCTATATGAAAGAGAAAAACAAAATATTGTGGATGCCTCTTGCATGTCTTGAATTTTATGTTGAATAAGTTACTTATTTAGTTTTACTTTGTTGGGAAATATGTCTGAATGTGATGAACTGATTCTGGGACATCTTCTCCTTCCTTTGTATCCTAGAAGTAGAAACTGTTCTCGATATAATTTTACAATCATAATTTCAAGTATATTGCACAGGTCAATTTGATCGAGATGGAATAAACCAAGACCATATAAAATGTTACATTGAATCAATAAATGGAAGTAATTTTGCTTACAAGAAACCAATACCAATTTATACACTGTATCAAATTATACAGGAAGGAAACTAGTACAGGAAACAAATCATACATGTATATTTGTGCTTGGAAGTATTTTTGCTTACAAGAACTAGTATTAGATATTAGTACATCTAATAAGCGAATTCTAACATTGTTTTGAACCAGGTTGACAAATGCAAATCTAATTGTAGCTTTGAATCTCAAAAACTATCGAGGATATAGCTTTGTGATTGAAACATCATTATTTGACAAGGGGATAGATTGTTCCTCTGAGCTCTTCGTGTCTGATACCCATGAATTGTTGCCAAATGAGGATGGCATGTCTGATGCATTGGTGTTGTGCACAAAAAATGCAGGTTGAGAGGGCACTGGGAGACTAATTGAATTGCTACTAAGCATGAGAACAACTGAAGCCATGTTTGGTCTGTGAGCAACATTTTCTTGAACACATAGCAAACCAATATGGATGCATCTCATCATTTCAGCTGTTGAACCATTTTTCAAAGTTGGATCTAAGAGATTTAATGCAGTCCCTTCCTTCCAGTTTTTCCATGCCTGCAAAAAGTTATAAAAGCACACACACATGAAGCATCAAATTGAGAGCTTGGTAAGATTTGAACTTTTATTTGTCACAAGACAGGAAAGAAACATAAAATAAGCATAGATTGTTATACTTACATAACTTAGTAGGTCCTCTATGTTCTCCCCAATT